GAAGGGTTCTCTAGTCTAGCAGCTCCTCTAACCCGACTCACAAAGAAGAACGCAAGGTTTGAATGGAATGAGAACTGCGAGAGGAGTTTTTCAGAGTTGAAGAAGCGACTGACTACTGCACCAGTGCTGGCTTTACCGAGTGGATCGGGAGGGTACACAGTTTATAGTGATGCCTCCTATCTGGGCCTGGGTTGTGTCCTAATGCAGCATGGAAAGGTTATAGCGTATGGGTCTAGACAGCTAAAGAATCATGAGAAGAACTATCCTACCCATGACTTGGAGCTTGCCGCCATCATACACGCCTTGAAAACCTGGCGCCATTATTTGTATGGAGAGACCTTTCAGATCTTCACTGATCACAAGAGTTTGAAGCATATCTTCACCCAGAAGGATCTCAACATGCGTCAGAAAAGGTGGATGGAACTACTCAAGGACTATGATTGTGACATCCTATACCATCCAGGTAAGGGCAACGTGGTGGCCGATGCCCTCAGCAGGAAAAGTGCAGGCACCCTGGCCCATCTGATGGTTTCAGAATGTAGGTCTATTGGGGCTACACAGCAGGTTCGCCTGCGAGACCTGAAGAGAGTCACATGTTTGGGCCACCTAGCAATCCAACCCGAGTTAATCCAAAGAATAAAGGAAGCCCAGTCAGTCGACCCCGCCCTAGTAACCCGCAAGAAGAGTGCAGAACAGGGAATGAGCTCAGAATTTCAGATCTCCGCCGACGGATTGATTCGTTTCAGAGACAGAGTGTGTGTCCCAGATGACAGTGAGTTAAGAAGAGACATCATGACCGAGTCCCATAGCTCAAGGTTCGCCATGCATCCAGGAAGTACGAAAATGTACCAAACTATGCGACCTCGGTTCTGGTGGAATTGGATGAAGAGAGACATAGCCGACTTTGTGTCTAAGTGTTTGGTATGTCAGCAGGTCAAAGCAGAACATCAACGCCCGGGCGGGTTACTTCAGCCTTTACCGATTCCAGAGTGGAAGTGGGAACATATCACCATGGACTTCGTATCGGGACTACCCAAGGCACGATCGGGACATGATGCTATATGGGTAATTGTTGACCGACTCACTAAGTCTTCCCACTTCTTGGCCATCAGAATGACTGATCCTTTAGACAAGTTGGCAAGGATGTATATCCGGGAGGTAGTCAGACTGCATGGAGTTCCGGTAACAGTGGTATCCGACAGGGATCCCAGATTCACCTCTCGGTTTTGGAATAGTTTCCAGCAAGCTATGGGAACAAAGCTGTCTCTTAGTACTGCTTTCCACCCCCAAACCGATGGACAATCAGAGAGGACAATTCGTACGTTGGAGGATATGCTTTGAGCTTGTGTCCTTGACTCCGGGGGCCATTGGGACGACCACCTACCCCTGATAGAGTTTGCTTACAACAACAGTTACCAAGCAAGCATCGGCATGACCCCATACGAGGCGCTATACGGACGTCCGTGCAGGTCGCCGATCTGTTGGGAAGAAGTGGGCGATAAAAGATTGTTTGGCCCGGATTTGGTAGAAGAGACCACGTCCAAGATAGTTAAGATCAAGAAGAACATCCAGACAGCTCAGAGTAGGCAGAAGAGTTATGCCGATACCCGAAGAAGAGACCTGGCCTTTGAGAAAGGCGACCGGGTGTTTCTTAAAGTCACCCCCTTCAAGGGAATTAGTAGGTTCGGCAGGAGGGGAAAATTAAACCCCAGATATATTGGACCCTTTGAAATCTTAGACAAGATTGGTACCACTGCCTACAGACTTGCACTGCCTCCTGAGCTCTCCCGGGTTCATAATGTGTTTCATGTATCTATGCTACGCAAGTACAATCCGAACCCTTCTCATGTCGTGGCTCACGAACCGCTTCCACTCCGAGAGGACTTGTCTTATGAAGAAGTACCGGTCAGTATCACGGACCGAGAAAGCAGAATACTCCGCAATCGGAAAATATCATTTGTAAAAGTCATGTGGCAGAACCACACGCCCAGGGAGGCGACTTGGGAACTGGAATCAGAATTTAGGGCCCAGTATCCCCATCTGTTTGATCAAGAGTAATGAGACAAATTTGGGGACCAAATTTCTTTATGAGGGGGAGAATTGTAGCGCCCGGACCGAGAAGTAGAAGGAAAAAAAAAAAAAAAAAAAAGCCACGTCGGCAGCCACGTCAGCAGGCCCGGTCAGCAGTCCCGGCCAACCAGGGCCTGCCACGTGGCAAGATCCGCGTGGGCGCGATCGGACGGCCCAGATTTAATCAAAAACGGACGGCCCATATTAAAACAAAATGGACGGCTGAGATCAAAGGGCAAGGGGTTATAA